TGGCCTTACCTGCAAGCTGCAGCAGCTAGATACAACAGTCAACCACCCATTCAAGATTTTTGTGAGAAGAGAGTGGGATGAATGGATGCGGTCTGGGATTCGTGAGCTCACACCAGCAGGCCGACTGAAGCGGGCTAAGTTTACAAGAAATCTACAAGTAGGTCGCTTCTGCTTGGGGGAAAATAACCCCAGCAACTATCTGCAAGAGCTTCAGAAAGGCTGAGATTATGTACCAGCAGAGTACTGATGACGAAGATGAAGACGCCGAAGGCAGTGATAGTGATGACTTCAGTTCGGAAGTCACAGAAGAGCATCTGCAGGCAGCTCTGAGATATTTCAATGATGATGGTGACAAGGGATCAGATTTTGAAGGGTTCTGGGAGTCGGAGGATGATGATGATGATGATAAAGAATGAATGAACTGAAATGGCCTATTTTAAGATGAAGACAGTTTTTTTCTGGTGACTTTTATTTGTTGATTTCAAAGATACTGATTATCTAACATTATGTTTCAGTTTTAAGAGTTATGAAAGCAATAAAATATAAAAACATCTTGTTCTTGTCGTTTTAGTCCTAGGTCATTTCTTACTAATTTCTAGCTTTTCATGCATTCGTACTCTGGTTTCACCATGGTATCCCATTTCCATCATGAGCCTGTTCAGTTCGCCATTGGTTGCACTTGGTTTAGGAAAATAACTACCTTAAATGAAGTTTCCATGAGATCAGTTTTATCCTGGTAACATTAAATCCGTTGGACAGAAAAAAAAAGAAATTGAAGTTAGCAACCTGTGAAAAAATATTGGTATAGCGTGCTTATGAAAATAATGCGGGGGTGGGGGTTGTGTGGTTTGCCAAAAAAAGTATAACACATGCATTATTTGCTCAATAATATGGTATGTAACAAAACATTTGTGATTTCAACATTCTTCATATGTACAATTCAGTGACATTAATTATGTTTATCATGTTGTTCAGTCACCACCATTATCCCTTTCCACATTTTTCCATCATCCTTAATAGAAGCTCAGTGTCCCCTAAGCAGTGAGTTCTTCTTTTTCTCTCTCTCCTGCCTGCCTGAGTTTTTATCTTGAGCAAAAAGAGCCAATGAAGATGAAGCTTTTAAAGATACAGAGGAGAGAGGGACTAATAGAAGGGTCTTTGAAGAGACAGGAGGGCCTGGGATGAAGAGCTGATATGGATGGACTAATGGGCTAAGAGGGACCCACCCTTTCTCTGAAATAGAGGGCAGGGAGGAAGGGGCGGTACAAATGGGGGCAAATTTGTAGGTGGAGAAAGGCAGGAAATTAGAAGAGTTCATTCCTGATGACCTTCATTGTCTCTGAGGAACACAGTGCAAAGTTATTTTTGGAGCAAGGGAAACATGGGTGTGGGATTGAGTCTTGAAATAGCCCAGGATGGAAATGGTAATAGAATTGACAGTCAGTGTGGGAGATAGCACAGATTGTAGAGAACAGTGTATTGTGTGTTTTTCTCTCTCCAGGAATAAAAGCAAAACAAAACCATTGCTGTTGAGTCAGTTTCGACTCATAACGATCCTATAGGAGTAGATAATTCTAGCAAATTGTTGCATTGATCCATTGTGGAGTAGACGACTCTGGAGGACAAAGGGATTAGAGAACTGAGGGTACTAGTGAGAGAGCAGTTGAAGAGAAGTTTTCAGTCTAGGCAAGGTAGGGAAGGAAGTGAAGCCAGTTAACTCCTGGTGGTCAGTGAACGGGAAGAGAGGTAAGAGGCGAGAAGAAACTGGATGGGTGAGAAAGTATGGTCAGAATTGTCTTTTGGAGATGAAAGTTCTAGAGTTAAAGCAAGTATGTCCTCTGTTAGTTTCAGCTGAGGTTAAAAGTCAGGAACGGAGAGAAAAGCATCCGGTTGTAATCTTTAGGCAGTGGAGGAGTCACCACACAGATGCTCACATCTCCAGGGTGACGGCAGGAGTTGATGACAACGGGGGAGTGACCAACAGGTCAGCAAGGGCCAGGCTGGGCCTCAGATAGTAAGTACCTCAGAGGAGGATGGCCTTCTGCATGTGGGTCAAAGGTAATAGTGGGGTATTGGCCATGCTTTTAGGCCCTTATCCGTGGAAGACTGTGCAGTCTCCACTTGGTGGGCCTGAAAGAGCTTTAACCTTGGACAGACCTCATGGGCTTCACATGAGACAAGGAGGTGGTGGGAGAGCTTTTCAAAGATGCCGAGTCATCCTGCTCCAGAGGGCACAGTGGAAAATCAGGGAAGGGGGGCTACCACTAGGAGACAGAGGAAAAAGTGCAAGGCAGTGCAGAGATGCTGTCCTAGGTGTCTAGGGCCACTCTAACAAAAAAATACAAGTGGGTGGCTTTAAAGAACTGGAATTGATTGTCTCACAGTGTTGGAAGCTAGAAGTCCACGTCAGGGCATCGGCTCTAGGGGCTGGTCCTCCCTTGTCAGTAATCCCGGGAGTTCTTGTCTTTCCTTGCCATCTCTCTTCCCTCCGTGTGTGTGTTTGTGTCTCTTCTGCTCTTTTTATAAGCCACCATTTGGAAGGGATCAGTTTTAGGACCTGCCCTATGCTGGTATGACCTCATTAACATAATAAAAGAAAATCCCTTTTTCCAAACAGGGTCATGTTTACAAGTGTGAGGATTAGGACTTTAACATAACTTTTTGAGGAAAAATATCCAGAGAGGTCTGCGTTTTGGGTCATGGCGAAGGATGGCAAAGATGAGTGATAAGAAATTAATTGGGGGGAAGGTTCCCAGTGGACTTTTGGCTGCAGGTTGTTTTGTTACCTGAATTACTTCAAGGCTGTAGGGGCTGAGGTGTGCAAGTTATCATCTCCACTTGCTTTTTGGTGGTTGTAACCTCTTCATACAAAAATTGGGCAAATAAGGAAAGGAAGGAGATGGAGCAATAGCTGGAGTTTGTTGCAGGATATGGAAAAAGTTTTTCCTCACAAAATAACGGAGAACCAGAGAGACTTTATAGACAGAAGGAGCCAGTAATAGTTAATAGCAATAGTTAATATGTGCTACTTTATGTAAGTAGAGCCCCTGGGTAGTGCAAACAGTTAACATGCTTGGCTGTTAACTGAAAGGCTGGCATCCAGAGGCACCTCGGAAGAAAGGCCTCGTGATCTGCTTCTGAAAAATAAGCCATTGAAAACCCTGTGGAGCACAGTTCTACTCTGACACATATGGGGTCTCCTTGAGTTGGAGTCAATGCCATGGCAACTGATAACTCTATGCAGATACTATATTTGATGCTGTAGGGCATTCAGATTAAGAATTAAACCAACTAACAGCTGAACCAGTTGCCATGGAGTCCATTCTGACTCATGGTGACCCCACGTGTTACAGAGTAGAGTTGTTCCATAGGATTTTCTTGGCTACAGTCCTTACGGAAGCAGATTGCCAGTCCTTTCTTCCACGGTGGGTAGGTTCAAACCGCCAACCTTTAGTAGTCCACTGCAAATGGTTTGTGCCTCCTGGAGACCTTAAGAAGAATAATAGATGACAATAATTGAACTAAGATGCACCGTTCTGAGTGCTTTGTTTGATTCAGTCTTATCTTTAGCTTCACCAGGTAGTCACGTTTATCATCATCATTTATATAGATGAGGAAGCTCAACGGCATAGAGGTGAAGTAAACTTGGCTGAAAGCTAAAAACTGCCAGAGTCAAGGTCAGAACCCAGGCAGTCTGGTGCAGACGACCTTGCTCCTGAACCATCCATTGTGTGGCCTTACAGCTTCAGATGGGAACTCTTTTTGTCATAGAGGCTGTGGTATGACAGGAGATGCATGAAATGGTAATAGGCCACAAACTCTAGATGTCGGCATCCAAATGCTGAATTATGGTTAAGCTAATAAAACTAAGAAATCCGTTTCTGCTGGAGATCGGTGAAAGCTTTAGCCTAAAGGTCCTAGCTTTTGAACTCACCGGCCCATTTGCCTGAGGTATTTTGTTTCTTTTCCTTTTTTTTGAATTTCAGAGAATTCATTTTCTCTGAAGAGCTTATCTCTGGAATTGCAAACACTTGGAAAATAGTTAAATTCTTGATTATTTTGAACTGATTGCCCTATCTTGGATTGTGTTTCTTGTCTTTTTTCTTTGATGGCTTTTTGCCTGGTACATTTCACAGCTGGTTAACACAGAGGGAGACAGAGAATGTGAACATGTTGACAGTGACTCTAGCTCCCTTTAGGTCAGTCTCCAAAAATGCAAGTGAGAGGGAAAAAGCGAATGATAACAAGGATTGCTCTTCCGAGGTTTTGAGTTATCTCTGCTATTGCTCTCCTCCTCTATCCTGGAATCATTGAATGTTGATTAGAATGTGGAAATCAGATTGCACTTACAGTTTTTAAACTTCAAATCAAGAAAGAATTCTTAATATCAGGCTTTTTAAAAAAAAATTCTCAAATTTCTTTGGAGCATTTTACACGCTAAAAATATGTAATGTTTTTAAAATAGAAGCCTATGAACAGCATATTCTTATTTATCTGAAGATAAAAAGGTAGAGAGCTATGTCCAGTGGTACTGAAGAAATGCTGTCCTGATTTTGGTGGTTTTAACATGTGAAACCACGTATCCTCTTTTCTGCATTAATAAAATTTTTTCAATGTTGAGCAAACCTTGTAACACTGATCTAGAAACGCCAAAGGTAAAAATGGTTTGGACATGTACTGAATACCTTTAATTAAAAAAAATCCTTGGCAATTTTATATCATGGGAATTTATTGATATATTACAGGAGTAAGACCTATGCATAGCAAGATGAATTTAGAATGGATTCTTAGACATTACATATCTAGTATTTTACGCATTAGTTTCTGTTACAACCTTGAATACCTTTAGTAGATGTTAACCTGGTTGTTAATAAAAAGACCATTTAATTATTCCCCAAGAAGGACTGTCAGGTGGACTGGAGCCTTGCTTTGTTAGTAACTTTGAGTAAAAACTAAGCATTTAAAAATTTTGTGGTTGTGGTTTGTGCTTTATATTTCAGATAGGAAAAGAACATGTAGGCCTGAAGGCTGTGACTGAAATTCTCCAGGATATTCAGTATAAGGTAAGTCATTATTTAAAGGAAAATAAAAATACTGGTTGTGTCAGAGGTCCCCAAGACCATCCTCAGGCTTGATGATTAGCTAGAAGGACTCATGGGACTCAGGAAAGCTGTTAAACTCATGATTATGGCTTATTACAGTGAGAGGATACAGATCGAAATCGGTAAAGGGAAAAGACACATGGGCAGGAGGCGAGGGGAAACCAGGAGTGAACTTCAGGCGTGCGCCTTCCAGTGGGGTTGCGTGGGAATGTGCTTAGTCCTCTCAGCAGTGATATGTGACAATATGTGCGAAGTGTTACCAACCAAGGAAGCTCACCTGAGCTTGGTGTCCTGGGCTTTTATTGGCCATCAGTCACGTAGTGACTCCCATGTGAGTGACCATAGTTACCCAGAATCCAGCCAGCCCACCAAGAGTTGAAAAAGGTGTTAGCTGTAATCACATAGTCAGGATAAGTTTATCTAGTCCAACTGGCACAAGCATACAAAAACAGTCTTATCAGACAGAATATTCCAAGGGCTTAGAGGTCACGCCCCAGTCCCGAAGACAAGTCTGTCTTTGGAACATTTCAGAGTTTGAGCAACCCAGGCCTTCAGAGTTAACTCTTTTCTCCCCACTGGTTCTAGGAAAGTTGTATAAATGAAACAAAAACTATGGGGCCTATATTTCAGATTACACACACACACATATATATATATATATATATATATATATATATATATATATATATATATATAGCCTTGGTGATGCAGTGGTTAAGAGCTTGGCTGCTAACCAAAAGGTTGGCAGTTTGACTCCATGAGCTACTCCTTGGAAACCCTATGGGGCAGTTCTACTCTGTCCTATAGGGTCGCTATGAGTTGGAATCGACTTGATGGCAACAGGTTTGGTCTTTTTTAGTTTATATATGTATACATATATAAAAAACAAGTACACAGAAGCCATAAGATAACAGTCCAGAGAAGGTGATTTAAATCAGTATGACCCGGTAGTGGTATGGCCCAGCATCAGTGGGAGGCCCAGTTCAGCTATCAACAGTTCCTTTAATCTCACACTGAGTCAGTTGAATCTGAGTGGCTTTGGGAGGATTAATTTAATCCTGTGTGGCTATTGGAGATACAGCATAGGCACTGAACTTGCTTGACAGAAAGGGATCCAAGGATCCAAAGCCAGTTCTGAGATCACTGTGGGGATTGGAGTCTGCTTTGCTGTACACGGGCACAAGCCCAGGACACCTTAAGCCAGGTGAGAACCTCCACTGAGGATCTCCTGAGTGGGCACAGTCTGAACCCAGAGAGTGGGGAAGCTCCTCACTAGTCAAGAGCAGCTGGTAAAAAGGAGATGAAGACACATTTTGATTGACGTTTGTCCAGTAGAAATGGGCCGAGAAAATTTGCAGTATTTCTTCAGCTGCTAGGTACATGAGTTATTTTGGGGGAGGTAAGCTGGATTCTTTAATGTGTACAATAGTGCCTGGAAGTAAGGAAGAGGCAGAGTTTATGTGATAATTTTCTCTATTACGTTCGAAACTTCAGAGTAATTGTATAGGAGACAGCCGATTAACGTAGATACGTCTGTCTGCCTGTAAGGCCTGAGATATCTAAGTTACACTATTTAAAATGTGATCCTAAATGTCAGTTGTTAAAAAATGGTACAAATGTTTTCCTTGGAGTTTAAATTGACCTTTTATAAAAGTTGATTGGAATTGAATATTTTCATCCTAGTGTTAGATACTGCTGCCTGAATGAGGAGAATGGAATAGATCCTAGAGTGGAACTATCCAGTCCAAATGGGACAAAATGAGAAGTTGAGAGCCAGGTTGTAATACCGAGGAGGTTAGGAGCTGAGATCCAAGCAGGCAGAGGAAAGTCATTTCAGAAGAATTCCCTGAGCCAGGGTTTGGGCTTTGCACACTGAGGCCCAGGTCTCGAGTATGGACGTGCTAGGGGCAGATAAAGTAGCTGACATGGGATAGATAGACACCATTTGTCAGTTTCACACCAAGAATTACAGTGGTAATCCATTTTCAGTAGGAGGGGGAGAAAAAAGGCCATAGACTGAGGGCAGGAGTATCGTATGAGAACCAGCCAGTGCTGCTCCAATGAGAAGACAGAATGAGATACCCACACATCTATGGGGACAGGGTGATGCCATCCAGAAAAGCTTCAATCTAGACTTTTAGTCCTAATAAACTTTTTATTCTAAAAATTTAGAAATTTTATGTTCACATGAGGATAACTTATTTTTTTATTTCTTCCTCAGGGGAAGACCAAGACAATACCCTGCTTTAATCCTAATACTTTATTACCAGGTAAGCATTTATCCAATTGCATAAGACAGATTTTATCTGTGGATATGACCACATTGTTTACTAAGAATATATATAGGTATATATTATTTGCTAATAAAATTTCTTGATAATTTAAATTATCTGTATCAGGTACCAGTTTCAGGTTGCTCTAAATACAGGAGTAAACCTTTTGAAATAACAAACACTTTGCTACTAGTTCCTTCAATTCATGAAGAACCTTCATAGGTTTGTCGTTTGTAAAAAATTACCACCTCTGTGTAAAACACCAGCGTAATAAAATAATCTTGATATATTTTTAAGATTGATCAATGAAATTCTTATAAATCTCTGCAGTGAAATAAACTTTGTATCTAATTTTGTAAGGTTACTTTTTTGCAGTGGTACTATTATTTGGATATTATTCTAGTTGTTAATGTATTCCTGTGCTGGTAAGAATTCTGCATAAACTGCTCAGAATATATGAGCTATGGATTGTTTTGTATAAAATTTTGGTCTTTCTACATTTTTTCACCTAAATTATATGCTATTTCTTAGTGTTGTAAACAAAACAAAATAGGTTGATGCATTTGTATCTTCTACTTTTTAAATTTAAATTACTCTACAGCAAGCCAATTTTTTGCCATATTTTGACTATTTACACATCATATTTAATCATGAATTCTTCTAATGTAGAGCTACTGGTTTCATGAGTATGGTTTTATATACAAGTACGATTTCGTATCATAATGATTTTAATATTTTGCTGGTGAAAAATCAACACAGAAGTAGTTAAAAGAGAATAGTTAAAAACAGGATTTGAAGCCAGACTTCATGGATTGAATCCTGCCTCTGCTGATTATTAGCTGAGCAACTTCGGGCAAGTTACAGTAACCTTTCTGTGATTCCATTTCCCTGTCTGAAAAATGGTGCTAATAGCAGCTATGTCATTGGTTTGCCGTGAGGGTTAAATGAATTAATGTAAAATGCTTAGACCATTGCGTGGCATGTGGTAAGCATTTAATAAACAGTGGGTATGAATTAGTCAGGTAACTTCTCCAATAAGGGTAAAAAATAATATGGATAGACTTGTGCTAACCCAACTAAAGTTGATCTATCTATTCTCTCTATCTGTATCTATCTGCCTACCTCCCTATTTATCTTGCCATATTTAATACATTAGTAATCCATTGATAGAAATCACTGTAAATAATAGAAAGAGGATTCATCATGTTTTCCATTGATTAGTTCCTCCATGATAATTAGTTTGAGAAGACACATGTGAGGTTCCAGCTTAAAAATGACATCAGTCTGAGTAGTACCATTTGGACAATTTGTAATTTGGAAAATTATTATTGGAATCTTCAAGGTTATTATTAATTAGCTTGCCTTTTTGTGACATGTTCCCCTTGTCGTACAGACCCTCTGCTGCGAGATTATTGGGTGTATGAAGGCTCTCTTACTATTCCACCTTGCAGTGAAGGTGTGACCTGGATATTATTCCGATACCCTTTAACCATATCCCAGCTACAGGTGAGTGCAGTACTTTAAACCTTTCCAAGTGAAGTTCTGAGTTAAAGGTTAACTATTGTTTCTGTAGAGGAGAAATGCCTATTTTATGTTGTAGCTCCCTTTATATCCCTCAGATCTTTTCAAATGAATGTTAAATGTCTTCAGTCAGGGAAAGCAATTCAAAGGTCAGGGATGAACAGAACCAGCTATCATTTATGATCTGTATTTTCAAAGCTAGTTTTTATAAACAGAAGCTACTGAAATAGCGGAACGTTTGATTAGTCCAGTTACTCCTTTATGTGGGGTTTCCCAGGCATGGAGGGGAGAAAGGTCTTGGAAGAAAGCTGGTTGTTTCTAGAAGTCGTACCTGGACTTTGTAATAGCTCTTCCTTAGCGAGCACAGGAACATCTCTGTATGCAGAGGGGTGAGGGAGCTGGAAGTGACGCCCTGGGAAGTTCTGGATTGTTCTCTGACTCCACTTTGGTCACCTGCCTCCCGCCTTGAGCTCTGCATGGGTGCTGTAGGGGCTGCTGCACAGGGGTCAGGCATCAGGGTGAATCATCACTAGGACATTAGCTGGTAAAACAGGCGGCAGCATCACTGTAATATGTTTAAAATAAATGATGAATTTGATATTATTACAAAAGAGAGGTGCTTTAAAATGTCTTGTCCTCCAAGGATTCATCTAAGGGATGTTTTCTGGTAGGCGGTATTTTCCCTGAGAGTTCCTGCGTGTTGCAATGGTTAACATGCTGGACTGCTAACTGAAAGGTTGTCAGTTCTGGTCCACCCAGAGGCACCTTGGAAGAAAGGCCTGGTGATCTACTTCCAAAAAATCAGCCATTAAAAACTGTGGAGCGCAGTTCTATTCTGACACATGTGGGGTCACGTGAGTCAGAGTTGGTGGCAACTGGACTGGTATATTTTCCCTCCATGATCTACGTCGGAGGCTCGGGCAGTGCTCTAAAATAGACCAAGTTTCATAAAGGGGAGCCACGGCCAAAAGGAAGTGTATCGGAAGGAATAATCTCAACTGCCCTTGAAAACAGAAGCGTTTCCAATTAGCTGTAACCTTTCAAGAAAAAAGATTTAGATGCTATTAGCACGTAGCTCCATTGCAACATCTGTTCAGAGGGCAGCAGTATTAAAATGTATACACACAGAGATACATGCACATATTGTCAGGTACATTAAAATGCAATTTAGAGTGATGTAGAAAAAAATCATAAACTTAGAAGAATATAAATCAGCCTGTCCTTTCCTTGAATGCTTCACTTGATGTGCTCATGTAATTTCAGAGAAAGCAGAGCAGAAACAGATAAGGTCCAGAAAGGGCAGTGAATATGAGAAGAACTGAAGGTTGATCTAGAATCTAGACCAAGAAAAATTGAGAAGCCTCGTATTATTTCAGTTAAAGATGATGTCTTAGTTATCTAGTGCTGCTATAACACAAATACCACAAGTGGGTACTTTAACAAACAGAAATTTATCTTCTCACAGTTTAGTGAGGCTAGAAGTCTGAATTCAGGATGCTGACTCTAGGGGAAGGCTTTCTTTCTCTATTGGATCTGAAGGAAGGTGTTTGTCTCTTTGAGCTTCTGTTCCTGGGCAATCTTCATGTGACTTGGCATCTTTCTTCCCCCATCTCTGCTACTTTTGATTGCTTGTTTCATCTCTTTTATATCTCAAAAGAGATTGATTTAAGACACATGCTATACTAATCCTGTCTCATGAACATAACAAAGACAACCGATTCCCAGAGGGGATTATAGCTACAGGCATAGAGGTTAGGACTTACAACACATATTTTTTGGGACACAGTTCAGTCCGTAACAGGGGAGCAGAGAGAGAGGGATGATTGATATACAAAATAATGAAAGGGATAGAGAAGGACAGATAGAGTCTCTACATATATGATTATATTGAGAAATATAAAACTTTAAATTGAGTCTAAGAAAGAATTTTCCTCCTAGATCCTAGGGTTAATTTATGTAATTGCAGTTGCTCGTGTCATTATGGAAACAACTGGTGTCTTGAAGTACATCATCTGCCACTGGTCTGCACTAGCAACATTAACAAGAAGTTCTAATTCATGATACTTTCCTATAAAATGTACAGTAGCCTGATTTAAGGAGGAATAGTTTTTGGCTGAGGTGTAGTGTTAACAAGTCCATTGAGGAACAGTTACATATTCGTGAGAATTCATAAAACACGGGACTGAAAGTCTTGGCTTATTTAATTTTTCATATTAATCCTGGCTAGCAGACCATATACTAGGGGAGGAAAAAACAAAACAAAACAAAAAACAACAACATTGGATGGATTAGTTGTTCTGTACAGCGTTTGAATGAGTATACTTTTCTCTCTCTCTTTTTTAATGATCTATAACCATTAAATGAAGCCTCCGTAGTTTGAGGGTTAGAACACTGGTCTTGTTAAACCAGGGGTCATGAGTTTGAATCTCACCGGGGCTGTAGCTGCTCATTTAAACCCTGGTGGTGTACTGATTAAGAGTTTCGGCTGCTAACCAAAAGGTTGGCAGTTTGAATCCACCAGGCGCTCCTTGGAAGCCCTATCAGGCAGTTCTGCTCTGTCCTGTAGGGTTGCTATGAGTTGGAATCAACTTGACAGCAATGAGTTTTTTTTTTAAATAACCATTAAATAACTTAAGGTAAAACAGTAGTAGCCTAAGTATTAGAAAGCTGAAGTTAAAAAGATTTTGTTTTTCAGCTGGATTGTTGTATTTGGAAATGAGAGTCTAAGAACAGAAATAAAATACCAAATTTCATCAAATTCGACAACATAAATTATAAGACACGTTCCAGTTTCAAAGAGACATAAAAATATGACAAATGCTTATCTTAGAATTGACAAAATATGGTATTGTGATGGTATAATGGTATATGTACAAATTTGTGTGTATATATCAATACACACACACAGAAATGGTTTGATCATTAAGTTTTACTCACCTTTTCTTGCTTTGTTTCCTCCCCTCTCCTTTTTCTTTATATTTTTTTTACTTTTCTATTTCTTACTTACACAATTCCTCAGATTAAATGCATTTGTCATTGTTTTATCCTTTCTCTTTCAACTTACAGTAATACCAGTGAAACAAAGGAATAATAATGTGTTTATTGTTTTTAAACTTTGTGGATATATAGGTTAGAAATTTGAAAACCATTTTAATTTTCTTTTCGTCTCAGTCTTAGCTTTTCTTCATCCTTCTCCATTCCATTTTCTCTATTGGCTCTGGAGGAAGGTGGTTGTCTCTTTGAGCTTCTGTTCCTGGGCAATCTTCATGTGGCTTGGCATCTTTCTTCCCCCATCTCTGCTACTTTCGATTGCTTGTTTCATCTCTTTTATATCTCAAAGAGATTGATTTAAGACACGTGGTGTACTAATCCTGTCTCATTAACATAACAAAGACAACCTGTTCCCAGACGGAATTATAGCCACAGGCATAGAGGTTAGGATTTACAACACATATTTTTGGGGACACAGTTCAGTCCATAACAGGGGAGCAGAGAGAGAGGGATGATTGATATACAAAATAATGAAAGGGATAGAGAAGGACAGATAGAGTCTCTACATATATGATTATATTGAGAAATATAAAACTTTAAATTGAGTCTAAGAAAAAATTTTCCTCCTAGATCATAGGGTTAATTTGGAAAAGTGGAGCTCTTCATAGCACCCAGCAGGTAGAGTTAGTATGCCTGACCCTAGACAACTGAGGAAGACCGACGGCGTTCAGGGCTCAGTAGAAGGCATTTCTTGGCTTTGTGCTCAATATGGGATTTGGGGTGGCACAAACAATTTGCACTTGACTACTGACCTAACAGTTGACAGTTTGAACTGACCCAGCAGTGCTGTGGAAGAAAGGCCTGGTAATCTGCTTCCATAAAGATTACAGCCAAGAAAACCCTTTGGAGCAGTTGTACTCCGTCACACATGGAGTCGCTGTGAGTCAGAATTGCCTCTACAGCAGTGGGTTTGGTTCTTTGGTTTATGGTGAAGACCCAGTTGCAGTGGAGCCCCATCATGGTCATGTGTGGAAGTTATTTCCAATACTTGGGAGCATTTGTTGTTCATTTTTTTCTATATCACCAGTTCTCAAACTTGAGTGTGCATCAGAATCATCTGGAGGGCTTGTTAAAACATAGATTGCTGGGCCCCACCCCAGTTTCTGATTTAGTAGGTCTGGGGTAAGGACTGATGATTTTCATTTTTTATTATGGGGAACACACTTTGAAAATCACTGTTTTATAGCTAGGCAGCCCTGATGGTGCAGTGGTTGAGCACTCAGCTGCTAACTGAAAGGTTGGTGGTTCGAACGTACCAGCTGCCCCACGGGATACAGATGTGGCAGACTGCTTCCATAAAGGTTTATTGTCTCACAGTTCTGGAGGCCAGTAGTCTGAAATCAAGATGTTGACCGTGTTGATTCCTTCTGAGGGCTCTGACAGAGAATCTCTTCCATGCCCCTCTCTTAGCTTCTGGTGATGGCTGGTGATCCTTGGTGTTCCTTGGGTTGTAGATTCATCGCTCCAGTCTCTACCTTTGCCTTTCCATGGCCTTCTTCCTCTGTGTGTGTCTCTCTGTCTCTTGTCCTCTTTTATAAGGCCACCACTTATTGGATTCGGACCCACCCTACTCTGGTATGACCTCACGCTAACCTAACTGATAGTGCCTTCAAAAACCCTGTTTCCAAACAGGTTCATGTTCATAGGTACCAAGGATTAGACTTCAACATATTTTCTGGGGGAGACAGTTCAACCCATAACAGATAGAAGGTTCGATGATGGAGTAGAAGAAAATGAAAACAAGGCTGCAGTACATGAAAGGTTCATGCAGTACATAACGCACAGTACATGCAGTGGACACATATATAGATAGACTGTTTAAGTACAGTTTGATTTTGATTGTTTTATTTCTCTAGTGCCATAAGGAATTATATTACTCTAACTCATGTATTGTCATTGATGATAAAAGAAAATAATAGAACACTTATGTATTTTTCTCTTTTGACATTATGGCACATGGAGTATAAGTCAAAATAAGTCTATTAGAGGACATGCATAGGAACTTGGAAACTCAGATCTTAAAATCAATTAGCACCAAACCACAAACCCTGAAAATTAGCTCTTTGAATGCACTCGGATGAAAAGCAGTCTTAAAGCTGAACTTTTAGTAGATACTCAGAACTGTGAGTCAGTGAAAATCGGCATAAACATCTTAGACCAATTGGAGTGCAGTTCAGCTCTGCCTCCTTCAGAAGAAGAGAGTGTCTCACTGAAGTGTTGGATCTCTGTTCTTTCTTTTTTTCTTTTTTTAAAAAAAAAAAGATTAAAAACAAAGCCCACATTAGGTAGAGTAGCATTAGAAGTTGACAGAACATACATACAGATGTGTGTGACAATGATGGTCTCATTCTGCCCTGACATTTGGATTTTGTTGGAGACGTTCATCCTGAAATACTCTTCATTTGTCACCATCTCTCCATTCAGTGTGCGGTAGCTAGAACTGGTCTCTCTCAGTGTGCACTTGGAACCATTTGAAGTGACTAAAGGGTTTTGAGGGGCGGTTGCTTCAGAAAAATCAGCATTTGAGACAGACGTGCATTTCCCACCATCTCTGTTGATGTTTGAAGTCTTCAAAGTGTTGCTATGATCAGAGAAAAACATTTCTTGTGAATTAGATTTCTCTCAGAGTACAGTGATGAGAGGCCGTCTGGCTGTTGATTTAGATCATCTCTACTGGAAGAAGCTGTTTTCACAGAAGATGCCAGCCTGGGCCTTAACAATTCATCTTCAGTTCAGAATATGTAAATGTAAAATTAACCTAGCTTTCAAAGGAACTTCAAAGTCAATAAAAAATGAAGTGTTTCTTAACGCTGTGCGTAGGCAGTAAAGTTTCTAGCCCACATTGCTCATTAATGGCCCTGTCCATGTAATAGACTCTGGTTGCAGCAGTTACATCTGATCCCATATCAAGTGTATGCCAGGAGAGATGATTGCATATTATCTCTTATTCTTTCCAGTCCACTTTTTGCATATAAAGTTGTGGCTGCATGGTGATTTCAAAAGGCTAACGTTTTGGTTTGACTTCAGAAGAAGTTATGTGATTTTATTATTAGTGAGAGTGCTGGTATTTACTGGACAGCCCCTATGTGCTGTGTACTATGCTGAGTGATTTTCACCAATTATCTGATTTACTCCTACGCCATGCTTGTGACGACTGTTGTCATCATCTCCATTGTCCTGATGTGGAAACTGGGGCTTGAGAAGGTGAAGTAAATTTTGTCATTTAGGTCTTGGTGGCAGAGCCAGGACTACCTGGTCTCCTGATGCAGTCAACTGCGTTAACCATCATATTCTTCTTTTTGAAAAGACAGAGTTCTCAAACTGATCAGATTTCTTTTTAGAGAAAACTTTAGGACTAAATACATTCCACAAATAATTTCAGGGGTTCTCATGCAGTCTGAGCTCTAGAAATTTTTCAGATGCAGCAGGCAATAGGAACTGCCATATACCCCGTGGGACCCTAAGAAAGTCTACTGAAAATCAGGACATAGATTAAACAGCTAATTGCTTATCTGACTGGCCCTTCTGTGTAAATTACAGAATGTAAGGATTATAAAAAACAGGACAGTTGAGCCAGACTTAATCCCATTCAAGGAAGCCAAGCAGTTATTTGGAGACATGGAAAAATAAAACATTAGAAGTCTGATTTCTAACGTGAGCTCTAATTTAACAAGCCATTTTACTTTTCCGCAGTTCTGTGTTCAATAGGTAGATGAGTAGATTGAGTTAGAATCTTGTGAGTCTTAACTTCTTTGCAGTCAGGGAACTTCTCAGGAAAATACATATACACATGGACATGCAAAATTTTATGTATAATTCAGAGATTTCATGGGTCTCCAAAAGTCTCTAGAGGTTTCTAGACTCTTATTGGAACCCTTGAATTCACTGATCTCTTATGTTTCATTTCACTTTAACAAAGAATGGCAGAATTCTGTGATGGCCTTATGGAAGACCTTTGTAGATATAACATTATGATACACAGTATGGTAAGCTTTTGGTGGATTCACACTGTTCAAATTACGTTTGCGCAATATCCTGCGTCATATGCAGCATATCGCCAATACTGATTTGACTAGAATTTATAAAGAAGTGGCTGTGGAGTTGGGAAAAATGCAGGTGGACTTGGAATTATCAGACCTCTGCCACTAGCTAATTTGCAACTGTTCTTAACATTTCTAAGCCTCAGTTCCTCTTCTGTGTCAGGAAAGAAGAAGGTCTGCATCATATGGCAATGTGGCATTTGAATGAAATAACAGAGCATGCACCCTGTAGGTAAATAAACTAATAGATGTGCATGCTTCCTTGTTGCTTGAGTACTTCTCAGAGAGTCCTGTCTGGAAGGTTACACGTTCTTAGGAGGCTCAGGATAGGCGAGTCAGAGGAACTGCAGAGTGGTCGACGTGACTCGGCACCTCTTCTCATGTGACGGGGAAGCCACAGGGCCCAGAGAGAGCACCTGAGAAAGGGAGAGGAACTTAGAAATCGACATCACTAAGGGAGGAAGTTAGGCTTAAATATTTGGAAAACGGCGATATTCTTTGGACCTGTGCTCTCCAAAAGGCTAGACAAACAGTACAGAAAGCCTTTTGATGAAGGAAACTGTCATGTAAATCCAGCATCTAATGATTATGAAAATATAGCAATATCAGAATTCATTAATTAAAGATACTCTTGCAAAACATTTAAGAAAGTGTAAGCATTTGTTCACTCTTCCTTATCATGTTACAGACAGGCATAAAAGCTTTCTGGGGAGGTGTAGATCATTTTCCCATTAACAACTCTAGCAGGTTTCGACGGCTATTTGAGTTATCTGGAGACCTCGATAAGTATACTTATACTGTCTTTATTCCTCTTGCAGAGAGTCTTGTCTAATGTCTTAGGTCTGGAAAAATTAAGTGTGTTTTTCTCTTTTTTAAGTTTTATTTGAATTTCTTTTTTTTAATTGCTGTACTGTAGGCACATTTCAAGTCATTTCTGAAACTCTAGCTTTGTTAATGCCTAGTAAATGATTGATCTGCTTTGTTCTGTTTTTGTTGCCAGATAGAAGAATTTCGAAGGCTAAGGACACATGTGAAAGGAGCAGAGCTTGTGGAAGGCTGTGATGGAATTTTGGGAGACAACTTTCGGCCCACTCAGCCCCTTAGTGACAGAGTCATTCGAGCTGCCTTTCAGTAGTCAAAGAGACCAGGAGGCAGTCTGTCTTCACTAGGGTATGTGCAAATTAAGTAAGGAAAATGAAGTACACTGTTAGGCAAATCTATCATGTCAGCGTTACTCTTTTGGTGATCATGATAATTTAGCAATAAAACAAGTGCACTTCATTTTGATAAAACTTAATGACATTCGCAGGCTCCGTCAATTACAAGTCAGATGGTTATTTTAATTTCATGCAGTGTTGAAAAAGACTACAATCCTTATATTTTCCCACCAAAGCAGCCCTTTAATTCCAAGTTTTGCTTTAATAATAATTAATAACTGGCTTTCATAAGGAAAGGCAGCCTGAGGCAGAGAAAGAGTGATGTGCAGGCACCTCTTTAGCAGTGTACTGTTTGCACCCTTGAAGGTGCAGCACCCATGTCTCATGACTGTGGAACACAGATGAAGGAAATAGAGGAGAGTGAGAGCCCATATATTGGCCCTCACTGTCTAATTTAGATTCATCATTTTGTGTATCCAGGCAGGTGGGGGCAGGTCTAGCATGAATTGTAATGCTTGTCCTATGGAAGTGCTCTTATTTGAATGATCAGGCATTTTTTAATTATCTGAATATAGTCTGTTACTTTATTGATTGAAATATAATCTGTGCATTTTAATATATTGAATTCAGTATATGTATTCACCCTTAAGGAATATACAAAATGAAACATCACAAACATGGAAAAGATAAAGTATACATAAGTGACTATATACTGGAATATTTCTCTACCTTGTAAATGGCCTAATAGAGTGCATAGGTCAGCTAGGTCAGTGCACGAGGCTGCAAATCACTGCTTCCTAGAGAGGAGAGCACATGTTGATGTGGTTTTCTAGGTGAGCAGGACAGAGTTTTGACTGTTTAATGGACTGTTGTGAGTATGAACTCTGTGCCAGATGTGGTGCTATGGACTGGGATTCACGGATAAACAGAAATCTTCAGCCCCAAGAAGCTCACAGTTCATGAGGGAGACAGTTTACATAGGAATTTAAAAGGTGGTCCTTTCGTTCATGTGTTTCCCAAAATCCATTGTCATGCTTCACTTTTGATTACTGTACTGTATGTACTCAATAAACCAAACCAAAAACCAAACCCATTGCCATTGAGTCGATTCCAACTCATAGCGACCCCATAGGACAGAGTAGAACTGCCTCATGTGGTTTCCAAGGAGCGGCTGGTAAGTTCGAACTGCTGACCTTTTGGTTAGCAGCCGAGCTCTTAACCACTGTTTTTTCTCTCTGTGAATGTGTTTAGTGGTTACAGCCCTTGCTTTCACAGTCCTTCTCGCCTGTTCTTTTGCCTATTGAAATCCTAGTACCCTAAAGGCCCAGCTCAAATACCGTTCTTACCAGGAATCCTCTGCTTCTCCCTTAAATTATACTTCTCTCCTTCATATTCTTTCTTCCATTTAGCTATTTGTATGTTTCTTATTTTCTGTATTAGATATCATGCTCCTTAAGGATTGGACCATGGTTATTTTAGTTCGAATCCATTATAGCACATGACACTTCATATTTTGAATGTCTTTAGGCAAATTAAAAGTGTCTTGGAATAATACACGTGTATACCAGTCAGCCTCATTTGGATTGTTCATTCATTAGTTTCTAGGTTAGCTAGTATAATTCATCCTCTCTTCTAATTTTAGAGATGATGAAAGCCAGGCAAAGTCACCTTTGTAGGAATGAGAAGAAACTTTCAGTAATTCATATATGCAGTAAAGACAATCCAAGAGTGCTTTAAATAATTATTGAGCACCTTCCATGTGATGGGTGCTGTGTATACAGAGGTGAGAAGAACAGAAGATGTGGTCTGTGATCTCACAGAGCTTATGGTATGAGGTGGGGAGCCCAACAAGGGAAGAGTAACCCTTAAATTAAAAATTAAAAATTTTCAAGAACTTTATGTATGAGAAGAACAAAGAAATGTGAGAAGGAGATTTCCAATAGAAAGACTATCTTTTGCAAAAGCCCTGAAGGAGTACTCCCTGTGGAGGGAGGTAGCAATTTGATGCATTTGAGGTACGTGAAAGAAGGCCCTGTGTGTGTGTGTCTGGGATATAGATATCAAAGGAGAGAGGAAGGTAGGGGCCAGATCTCAATGAGCCTTGCTAGCCATGGTAAGAAATCTTTTACTTTGTAGTTAGTGCAGTGAGAACCTGTAAAGGCTTTTACTCAGGGGAGTAACGTGATGTGATATATATTTTCAAAAGATAGCCCTGGCTGGGGTGGGGAGTGGAGCAAGATGGCAAGGTGAGTGGGCACTCCCATTTACTCCCCCAGCAACTAACTCACCGAGCAATGAATAAAAACAAGAACAGACTGAGATCTCAGAACTCCAGAAGGCATCTGAGGTGTTGGGAGAGCTGGGATGAGTCCAGAAGTGGGAGACAGGAGGAGCAAGGATGGCACAGAAGCTGAGAGAACCTACCTGCTAACATCTGGAGCACTCACTCATCACAGCCATTTTGGGACAGGACTGGGCAACACGCCAAACAGGGAAAACAGAAAGGGAGCTAAACTGAGGAAACTGTAGCCTGATTTTTTAAAGCAGTACAGATTGGCTGTGAGAGTTTGCGGGCCGCGCACTTGGGAGGGAGTAAAGGGAGATCATGGCACCGTAAGAGGTACTGTTGAATCTTGCTGAGGCCTGAGATGGATGTGCACCAGACCAGGAGGAACTTTAAGGGCACCAGAGTGAGGAGAATACTTCAGGTAGGCAACACAAGGAAAAACAGATGGCTTCATGCCCACAGTGGGACACTGTGGGAGAGCCTGTGCAGGGGCTCCCATGAGGGAAAGACAGAGAGCCCCCCACCTTTGCCACGGGAAAGACAAGTTCCACTGCTTACTGCAGCCAACTAGCCCCCCACCACCCAGCACATGCATATTGAATCCCAGAGAGCAAGCTCCAGAATTCCTGAATCAACACTGAAAAAAATCCTGAAGATAAGTGTGTCTTCTAGTAGTTCTTAGGAGAAGATAGCAAGCCCACTGCCATCAGGTTGATTGTGATTCATAGTGACCCTGTGGAGCAGAGCGGAGGTGCCCCATGGGGTTCTCATGGCTGTGAGTCTTTGTGAAGGTAGACTGCCACATCTTTCTACTGTGGAGCAGCTGGTGGGTGCAGGCCACCAATCGTTTAGTTAGTAGCTGGGGACTTGGCTGCTGTACCACCAAAACGCCCAATAAGAAAAATTTCCCAGGATTTAAAGTAAAAACAGTAAAAGATAACAAAATGGCCCAAGTTCAACAAAAGAATAGTAAAACACACAGAATCACAAGAGAAGAAGGGTCAATCAAAAGCAAAACATGAAGAGGAAATTTCTCCTATGGAGGCCAGATTAACAGAAAAAAACTTAAAAATTTCATACCATGGTGCTAAATATGTTTAAAGAAAGCAGAAAGCACACAGAAAACAAACTAGCGGAGATCAGGAAACAAAATGGAGGAACAAAATGAGACACTCAACAAGGAGATTGAAAACATCACCCGGGGAGAAAAAACCCAGAGAGAACTGCTGGAACTGAAGAATAAAGCAACTGAATTAGAAAAAGCAAGAGAAACACTCAATAATAGAAACAAACAGACAGGAGATAGAATAAATGAACTAGAAGACAAAATAACTGAACTTGCCAAGTCTCAAGAGAAACAAGAGAAAAGAACAAAGAAAAGCAGACAAACCCAAATGGAAGTATGGGATTCAATTAAGAAATCTAACATTAGAAAGATTGAAATCCCAGAGCACCATGGCAACAATAAAGACATAGAAAGAACTTTCCAAGAGATAGTCAGAGAGAATTTCTTATAACCAAGCCTGCAAATGCAGGAAGCTACACGATACCCAATCAGAAATACACAAAGATCAACTCTGTACAATATCCTAATAAATTTTTTGAAAATCAAAGACAAGGAGAGAATTCTGAAAGCAGCAAGAGAAAAATGCAATGTAATATACCAAGGGTCTTTCATAAGAATCAGTGCGGATTTCTCCCTAGAAACTCTAGAGGCCAGAAGACAATGGAGCGACATATATAAAATACTAAACTGAAAACAACTAAGAATTCTTTATGTAGCAAAATTGTCATTAAAAAATGAGGGGAAATCAAGACATTCCATATAAACAGAAGCTCTGGGAATTTGCCACCACCAAACCAGCTTTCCAAGTATTACTCAAGGGAGTACTACAAATGGAAAGGCAAGAGCATTAAATAAATACTCATCTATACATGGGAAAAAATAAATAAAAAATGAGAGTGAGAGCTCCAAAAAACCCAACAACACAGGCAGCCATAAGGACCAAACATATGGTATTTTTAGGGAATAAACTCAATAATTAAATTCCACAAATGGTGTAACATCAAGTTTGTAAGAAATAAGTACAAAGTGAATTTATCGAATAAAGGTTGTATATTGATGTTAATGGAGACACACCAACAGAAATTGGGGAAGGAGGAGCATATCGAGAATAGATTTAATACATTAAGGTTGCATGTTAACTGTGGTTCATATGTTAAACATTGTTGAAATTGTAAGTTGTATAATGTAATATATGTAGTAACCACTAAGAAAAAAACATTTAGAAGGAAGAAAGCAAAAAGGTTCATCACAAGAAAGCAGCTAAACACAAACAAAAACAGAAAAAATCAGAATAGAAAAACAAAATATGAAACATTCAAAAAACAAATAGCAAAATGAGGGAGGTAGACACTTAATTTTCAGTAATAAACTTAAATGTAGATGGTCTAAACATCTCATGCAAAAGGCAGAGAGTGGCAGAATAGATTCAAAAAAAACAATCCATCCTTTTGCCATTTACAAGAAACATGCCTTAGACATAAGGACACAAATAGACTGAAAATAAAAGGATACAGAAAATTATTTCATGCAGCCACTAAACAAAAAAGAGCATACTGATATCAGATAAAATAGACTTTAAATCAAAATCTATTAAAAGAGATAAAGAACATTACATAATAATAGGAGTCAATACAGCAAGAATACATAATAATTATATGTG